GGACACACTTACTAAAAAAAATAAATAAATAAAAATAAAAAACTGATACGTCTTACCTGGCTTGCTATATTTTATTACAGATAAATAAAGCTTTTTAATAACCCCACTCCCAAATCTCCAACAAATGATTCTTTACCTAGAATAACAGGTGGGGATAGGAAATACTGATTTCCATTATAACGCCGAAAGTTTGCCTTCGAGGCAGGTTATGGTGTACATATCACAAACAGAACCCCAAAGTCCTTGAAAACAAAAGCGAACAGAAGCAGTGCAAGGCTGAGCTCAGTGTTGGACACTTCAGCAGCAAGTTCGTCCTCCTTGGAGCCACGTGAAGACCTTTTTGCTACCAGAACCACGAACTGAGGTGACAGTCCTTTATGACACATGGCAAGAAGTGACTCTTCCCGTTCTAGGCTTTTGTGGTTTTTGCCTTCTTTTGCAGTTTTCTCTGGGTTGGGTCTGGAGACTGACAGCAAGCTGGAGGCCTATCCCATTGATTTCTTTCCCCTCATTTCCACTGTGAACTTCTACCGCAGGGTTTGAATGAACGACGTTGCCATAAAGGAGACTGGCGATGGTGGGGTGTCCCGAAGGCCCAGTGGCCAGCATGACGGGCAGCCGCCACTCACTGCGCGGGTGGAATGAAGAGCTCTGCTCAGATGGCCTCGGCCAGAGGCCCCTGCGTGAGTCCTTCTCCCAGCTGGAAAGGGCTGGACACACCTTATCTTTAGGCCAAGCTTGGCTTACTCGAGGTGGAAAACGTGGTCTCAAAGACAAAGCAGAAACGGTAACACTGGCTTTGGTCATCTGCAAGAAATGGGAGGGTCGTGTTCAGCTGTTACTTGGCCGTAAGCTGTGCCCCTAAGCTCAGGCCTGCAAGGGCAGCTGGCGGGGGAGTAGGGTACGAGAGCAGACAGAACTACTATTGTAGCTCATAGCTCGACTGCAACCGAGGCCTCCAGGGAATTTTTTGTTTTTCTTTCAATGAAGAACATTTCTTCCACAACCATCTTAATACCGAGCTAAAGCAAAACCATGGCCTTTCATGGCAGTCTCCTGGGAACCTTAGAAACGCAGGGCTGCTTGCACCTGCTACGGGAGTGACCCCTGCCAAGTCCTTGGGTCTGGACAACCTCCTGGTTTGCCTCCTGACTCGAGGGGCCTCCTCATCCTCCCCACCTAAAACACCTCGAGTTAATCCTCCTCAGGTAAGGACTAACCCGAAATGATGCGGAGAGCTCAGCGCTGACCCCAGGAAGGTGCGGCTCTGCCCTGATGGGGGAATGCTCCCTGCTTCCCCACCTCCCAGAGAAGCAGGGTGGTTTACGACCCCAAGACCAGGAGAGGCTGGGGAAAAGACTCATCCCTCAGGTCACACGGTCGCCCCCCGGGAAGGGGGGCCGAACTCATTGCTGGCCTCGGTTGTGCCTTCACCCAGTATCACAGACTTGCTTCCACCACTCGTACACTTTCACAGAGAACAGTTGGCTGTATTCCTCCCTATGAGATTATTCTGTGAAGAAAAATGAAGCTGTCGATAGCAAACTGCTCTACTTAAGTGGAAACTAGATCAATCTGGAATTAAGTGTAAGCCACGGGAACTCGTGCCCCTTCCCTCTCATGGCGAGCTTTGCAGGTGACTACTGCAACTGCAGTTCAGGTGCAGCTAGAGACACGCTCTGCTCGGGACAAGGACGGCTTCATAACCGCTCTACCGCAGAATGCTGTCTGTGAACTGTGCGTTCAACGGTTTCATGCGGAAGCCCATGGGCTCATGGCTCTTGGCAAAATTAACACTCAGACTATGCGCATGTCCTGCCTGGGAAAGTGGCCACCGCATGTCCGGGGCAGAAGTCTCTGGGCAACTGTCATCTTGGAGCAAGAGAACAGAAGGAGGCAAATTAAAATAAGAAACAAAAAAGAAAGAAAAACAAAAAGGAAAAAAAGAAGGAAAGGAAAATACTTGGAAGGCGCTTTTTCCATAGGAAAAAAATATTTTATTTTTTTAAGAACAAATTCAGTTTGAAACAGACGTGGAATGTGACTTCACGGATTTCATTTTTGGGGAGCTAACTGCAATGTGGAACTAAAGCAGACTGAAAACCTATGACAGGCTATTAAAATAAAACAAAGGAAGAAAAAAATATTTATAACTCAAGCATAATACTGTGTTACTTACAAATTGGACAACGAAATTTTAAATAAATATTCATGGTACATAATTACGGCACAAATATGCAGCAATTTGGCAACCTTTTTACCATTTTTTCCTCATTACAGTGCAAAGGGGGATGACACTGCCGTTAAACAAGCTGTAGCTAAATACATTGCAAAATCCAGATTTTATACAAAACATCTTGCTTAGACTTTATAAAAAACCAACATTGCTCTATGTACACAATCTGGGTAAGAAAAGCCATTTCTGTCTTGTTTTCATGTGTATTTTTATTAAAAAGGTGAATAAGGCTACTGTAACACCCCAAATCCATATACAGTAAGATCTGAACCTATTTACAGCATCTTCACTTAAACACGATGGTGCAAATTCCAAAGTCGGGCGACTAGGGACGGTAATACAAGCAAGGCATTTACAGTAACTTTCCAAAGCTGAACCAACCTCAAATCAAGGAACAGTTGGTAGATTGTCATATTCTGCACCAGACACAAAACAGACGCACAGAACACTTCTCGACTGGTTGCAGGTAACTCTTCAACTCATCTGATTTTTCACAGTTTAGCATAGAACCAAAACGTAGCCAACCGATGACACATACATGTGATTTCATTAAAATCAGACTATTTCCCATTCCCCCCTCTCTCCCCTCTCCCTCATCCTAAAGGTAACTTCTGATGGCTTACAAGGACGTCTTGTATGAAAGCGCACGAAGGAGAGGCCGGGGTGATGGAAAGAATTACATATGTACTGCGGCTGGTCACCACAGCAACCGCCACAGAACTGATATAGATATATATAATATATACTGTGGATATATATTATACATATGTGCACACACGTGTACCACACGTCCACTCACACATACACACACGCACTTTGGATCAACCTCATTTTCAGGTTCAGGAAATAGGGAATACGCATTTCTGTGACAACTCATTTTTGCAGGTACTCGATCGAGGTTTGAGAACCTTCAAATGCTGTTGCTACATTTTTTTTCTCCCAATTCAGAAAGCAAAGCGTTACCATAGTAACAGGACTATGTTAAAGATGTCTCTTTTGCATAGCACATAAAAAGTAGGTTTCCTGTTTACTCTTCTTGTTTCCCAGAGGGGAGGGGTGGGGGGAAGGAGCCAAAGCTGAACTGGCAGGGGAAGGCCCCGGTGCCACCCGCTGGAGCCCAGCGAACGCTTCAGCCCACAAGGCAGGGCGGCCGGACGCCGGAAAGGAGTGCCGGAACAGAACTATGTTCCACCTCGTCCTGGTGAAACCTGCGATGCAGTGACATCGATCTCCTGGTACCCGGGGCTTGTATTTCCTAGTCTACGGCTACGTGAGATGCCTCCAGAGGACTCTGTACTTCATATCTGCTCTCATGGTTGTTATCTTTGGAGTGAGGATGTTTTTCCCAGAAGTAGCTGTCCAATTTTTTTCTCTTTTTTAAAGCACTGAGCTGGGACCACTTAATTGCCACAAATGAATTTCACATCTTCTGGTGTGTACTGTGTGCAATCTTAAAATATATATTAGTAAAAATCTTTCCTTTTATATCCTCCGTGTTCTATATAGCTATTATAAATATGTCCTATCTTCCATCTCCCCCTGGACACCATAATTTACTTCCATCTTAAGGACTCTAAGAGGTTTGCCACATGTGCTTCACTGGACAGAGGCCCTGCCCTGAGGCCCTGGCAGCCCGGACAGCACCCGGTCACCCGAAGTGTATAAGGCTCCGACGTGGGGGGGGGGAAGGGGCCGGGAGGGACAGCCAGGGGTGGGGAGTCTGACCTACCTTTATATATGAGAATTCTTTCATAACACCAATGATGATGGAATTACAGCCTGTTTGACCTTTGGCCTTTACACTTCTAGGTCAGATTTGGCTCTCTGCTAGTCTCCTAAACGCTTTCCCTGTGTTTAATAAAAGTGTAAGAATAGCAGCGGAGTCTGCTTCAAACATCACCCAAAGCAGCGGACTCTCCCCCAGCTTCGCGCCGTGGGTCTTATTGCCAGTACCACAACCGCCCTGCGGTAGAGCCTCAGCGGCCACCTTCTCCCCTCCCTGCAAGCCCGTTCCCTCCCGACAATGCCCTGCCTGTTCCACTGAGCCAAGAGGGACTTCTGCACGCTGCTGTTTGGTAAGTGAATTCCTCCCAACGCGGGGCCCACTGCGTGCTGTCTCCTGCTTGCCTCTTAAATCTTCGCAAAACCAAAGTGCTGTGCTACCTAATTGTTTTTGCCTCCCCACTTTCCGCTTCAAGGCAGCAGCCTGGAGCTGCCGGAGCAGCCGACCTCCTCCCACCCGCCCAGCCCCGTCTGCCTAGGTCTGGCTGGTGAGCAAACACGCCCTCCAACAGGTGACCCACTGGCCCGGAGCTGTGGGGCCAGCGCTGGAGTGGGGCCTCCAGACCCTAGTGTTCCATTAGTGACGCCGAACGTGGAGTGGAGGGGATCTCGGTGAGGTGCCGCAGAGCCCTGGGTGACAGGAGGAGTGAGAGAGTGAGGACTAAACGCTAGAGATCTTTGAAAACCTTACTGAGCCCGAGGTCCGCGTGACAAGTCCAGGATGCGTGGGGAGGCCGCCGGGCACAAGCGGCTTTTCCAGGCGTGGCCTCCGGGGGGAGCTCGCGCCCTCGGTCCCCAACCACTCTGCCGCCCCCTGGCTTCGAGAGGCGGCGGCCCAGGCGGCGGCCACAGCACATGGCTCCCAGGCCCAGCGGCTCGGCCGCGGGCCTCCAGCACAGTCCCCCCGCTCCGGAGTGCGTGTGTCCGCCCGGCCCAAAGGCGACAGGCCAGGCCAGCTGTCCGGCTCCCCGGCACCGCAGGACTGCCCCAATGCTGGGCCGTCAGTTCGCCAGCACACGGGGGCCCAACGGAGGCGAAGGTACCGCCAGGGTCTAGCTCAGACCTTGTAGTAAATGTTGGCCGGACTCTGCGGTGGCATTTCCTGGACGATGTAGACCGGGTGCCCGTAGTCCCCGCTGACCTTCTCGTAGTGCGGGCAGAAGACACTGTCCGCAGTCCTCAAGGGGATGATAATGTCACTGGGCTCGGAGCCGTTGTTGTTGCCGCTGCGCTTGGGCGTGGCCAGCGTGCTCAGCGACAGCGTGGTCGTGTGCTGCGGCGAGTGCTTCCGGTGCCGCCGGCGGTACTTGAGCAGCAGGACGACCAGCGTGATGATGATGACGATGAAGATGATGCATCCTGAAGCAATCCCTGCGAATAAGGCCACTTCGGAACCGAGGATGTTGTTCCCCGAATGTCCGGCGCTGTTGCCGTCTGTGCTCGAACCTGCGGCCAGACCAGAGAACGACAGTTACCACGGCCCCTCGTGCTGCCTGTCGGGCGGAGCCTGGAAACCGTGAGACGTGACGTGGAAGCAAGCAGGGCTCACGGCTGAGCAGGCAGCTAGACTGACAAGCCTCCCTCCTCGAGAGCCCAAGTCCAGTGGCATGCCCCTTAGTGGACAGAGAAGAGACGCCCCTCTCCGGGGCTTCCATGCTACCCAGGCCACATCCTGTGCTTCCCGCGTATCATAGTTTATGGAGCGGGGACCAGTGACGGCAGCCTGGATCCTGCCCTGCCTTTAACCCGGGTAGTCAGTCCCAGACAGCAGGGAGAAGGCAGGAGGTGGTCCTCTGTCCTGCTGAGCCTTCCTGCGACACTGCTCTGGCTTCCCTCTGCAAAGGGGGCCTCAGGTGGACCTACTGAAGCAGGCCCTGCCCCCAGGGGAGCTCAGAGGGAGAGGCAGGGCCCTGGAGAGACGCTCCATTCCTAACTCGTTTGTATTATTTGATTTACACTTAAAATATATTTGGAAGGCGGCAGAGACTCTCGCACTGAACAGACTGCCAACCCAAATGTTAAGCACTAAAAAATTGCCTGGCATCATTATATTATCCATTTATCAGTTTGTCACAAGAATTTGACACATCTTGTCATTGAGAGTTAGAAATAACAACTTCCCTCCTCGACTCTTGGAAAGAGGTGGGATATTGCTGCAGCTGCTAAATCCACACAACTACCAGCCGCGCGTACAGATCCCCAAGACAAAACTGCTGACGTCTGCTCAACAGCCACTACATAAAAAATTCATTAGCCTGGTAACGAATACACAGCCATTTGTTCCAAGACTGCTAAGAAAATAGTTCAATGACAGCCAATTCTAGCAGCTATCCTAAACTTTTTTCAAGAATCCGCTTTTTGTTTTTGCATGGAAAATGTGAAAAAAAAAAAAAGTTACCAACAACCACCTGAGAATAGGACTATGTAATATTTTAAAAAGTTACCATCTAAAATTTAGGAGAGAATCAATTAGACTCTTTTGTGGATTAGCTATAATTAGATCAAGGATTAGGACGTTAATTGTATATACATTAACAACAGTTTTAAGCTGGTGTTGACAACCAGCTTGATAAAGTGTCAGCCAAGAAATCTGGTCTGGAAGAGGAGTCCTAATAATCGGTACTTATGGCTGACATGGGGCTCCTCTGAATGTCAAGCTCCCGGGGAGATGAGCTACTTTGTCCTTACTGAGTACAATTGCTAGCAACTCCGAGAGCCAAGGTTACCGGCGTCTGTAACTGTGAGCTCGCCCTGCTGGTGTGGAAGGGCTCTGCCTCTGCCTGCCTTGTGAGGTACTAGCAGCATGGGGTGCAGCCCTGCATGCAGACTGTGCTGCCCTACCTGGGTTTGGCTTGACAAAGGGGCTTGTTGTTGAACTTCTTCCATTTGTACCAGCTTCGAGCTCCGGACGTCTTGTCGGATCATTACTCCTGCTTGATCCAGCAGAACTCGCATCTATATGAGATACAAACGATTAATTACGGCACCGACATCTGAGGAGATCGAGCTTTAGGAGCTGCATATAGATCTCGAGGCATGAATAGCAACGAACATAAGATTCTTTATGCAAAGCACTGTGAAATACAAGAATGTGACTCTCCTTTTAAAACGAAATGGTTCTGCTAGTTATTTCAGAGGTTTGGACGGTGAGGCCATCTGTGAAAACTATAGGGATTCTTGCATTTGGCAGGCAAAGCTTTTCAGATGACATTTCAATTTAACTGAGCAAGTTGATTGACTACTAGACCAATTTTTAATTGGAAGGATAAGTGTCTTTTTTGCACAACAGGTTACGTATGTGTGAAAGGCACAATGAACAAAACTCTTCTGGAGTCAAGATTCAGAAAGGAGCAAAACTGCAGAAACTTAGCTTTCACTCTGGATAGTCTGATTTGGAGTCAAAGAGGTGTTTTCTTAAAAAACGTACATGTATGTGTATATGCATATATGGCAACAGGCAGACTTCCTGGCTGACGTTAACTTTGGGAGCGATCTCCAGTGAAAGAAGCTCCTGACACTGACACTGACGGGAGGAGACCTGCCAGTGGCACTTGGTGCAGAGGACAGTATGGAGGAAGTGAATGGAGGTGAGTGGCAGCTACACGGCGCCGCCTATGGGGCTACAAAGATCACAGTGGCTTCGGAAGCAGCAGACGGTCTTTACCTTGTCCAACTTTCATGAGGATCTTCATGGCTCTTGTCTGGCACACCCCTCCCTCCTGGTTATCCAGGCCCTCCAAAGACCCATTTGATGTAGCTGATTAAAAATAAAATGGACAAAACAAAAAAATAAAGAAAAATCAGGAAATCAATAAGCCAAGTTTACATGAACATGAAATGTCTGAAAACAATTTGAAAAATAAGAATTCACTCTTAGTCACAAGTTCTCTGAAAGTATGGGATGCTGAAAGCCAAAAAGAAAAAGAAAAGGAAAGAAAAAAGAATGGATCCCGGAGACACTGCCACATGTGTGCTATCTGGTTCCACATTTTTACTCGAGCGCTTTCTCCTTCTCTCACAAATGCGTTAGTATTAGTCTACAGATAAAGGGGACGTGTCTTCCAAAAAGCCTACTGCCCGGTTGGGAGCGGCCTCAGGGGAGCCGGGGAGTTCACACGGTAACCTCAGGACGCGGCCATCACGCACGGCACCCGCTTCCTCCGCTACACGTTTCCTGCCTCAGAACAATGAGCTGATGCGCTGTTGGTCAAGCGTCCACGTTCTGTAAACACCAGTCAAGGAGCCTCCCACACCCCTTTCCTCTTTTCCCCAGCCTTACTTGTGTTTAAGAAGTATACTAGAACTCGGCTCCTCAAAACTGGACGCTTTTCCCTCCGTGGCATAAAGCAGAACAAGGGCAGGTGTTCCCACTGCACCATCAACCTCCAGCCCACCTGCTGGGAAAGCTCTGGCTGGCTGGAGGCGAACGCCCAGGTGCACGGCTCTGGGTGCTACAGCAATGGATGCCTCCGTTCCCTTTCCGCCCCAGCAGCAAGGGCCAGAGGAAGGCCGGAGCCTCCTACCAGCGTCAGTGCATTTCTACCATACAGCCCGTGCTTCACTGTTTACACATAAAACTTAACCGCCCTGTTCTGTCTCGTGAGCGGGGCGTTCTCTGGAGAGCTCTGAGGGGAAGGCTGGACGCACACAGGCTGCCCGCTGTGTAATGAGGAGCAGGCTCTGAGCTCCAGCTCAGGTTCCGGGAGAGGAGAGGAGGTGGAGAGGGCGAGACATTTTCATTCTCCCGAAGTTCAAGGGGCAGGAACAGAAGTGTTTCATATACATTTCTGCAATTTAAATCATTTTCTCCTTTGATTAGCGAAGTCTCTTCTACTCACATGGCACTTTGAAAAAGATTGAAAAGGGACAGATGTTCTGGTAAAAAGAAATCCCAAAGACATTCTTTTAACTGGTTGTTTTCCGAAGACTGGGCGAGCAGACCAGCTCTCTGTGCGTCTGCGGGAGAGTGCGCGTGCTGTGGACAATGACACTGACTGCCCAGACAAGGGGCTCGGGGACTCGGCTTTGTGTCCTCCGACCATCAACTTTTACTTTGGCCGTTTTCCTTAGAAACAAGGCTGCCTCCTCTGGGTATAAATCTCTCTGCTTATCTGAGTGCGGGCTTAGCCTTCACAGTCTCACAATCACTTCTCATTCTCCAGCTATTGCTGACACTAAGCTTCTCCTGGGACACTGGGGAATGGCTGCCATGGTACTAAGTTTTGGGGGTACCAGTGGTAAGAGGTGAACGTTATCCACTCTGTTGAAAAAAGGTTTGGCAGAAGAAAACAAGTGTCTAAAAACTTTGTATGCTTTTCTGTCTCAAAAAGAATTTTTCTTTTCATTTCTTCATCCTTCTTTCCATTTTCCCTCCTCCAAATACGTGCCTAATTTCAAAGTATCCTTTCCTCTCAAAGGCTTCATACAGTACGTATTTCTGTGAGCAGATGCTGTTTCTGGAGAGTTTCAGAGTAGCACTGTAATCTTTAATTAATTGTTCAGAGTTTTCTCATCTGGATTTTCTCAAAAATTAAGATATGTCCTCAAAGGGAAGAAAGCAGAAAAGTGGTATGTGTATTCGGCTGATGGCTTCGGATGCTTAGTTTACTTCATTCCAGGACTCCCATTGCAATGCACACGCACAGAAACGCAGCGCATGTCGAAATGCCTCCAAACTGAAAGCTAAATGACCAACGTTTTCCTGAGGAAAGTTCCAACACAACTAAACTGACAAATAACAAAGTAAGATCTGGGGGCCGGCGGGTGGCATAGTGGTTAAGGGTGCTGGACTCTCACATGGCTAACTGTGGTTCGAGTCCCAGACAGAGCTGGTGGCTTGCTTTCTCACTTTCTCTCTCTCCCTTGCTCTGTTCTCCTCTGATCAAATTAAAATAAATAAATAAACAAGTTAAAAAAATAATTCTTTTTTTTTTTTTAAAAAGTGAGACCTGGAGTGAAGTGCAAAGAAAGAAAGAAGGGGAGGAAATATAGATTTGCTTATTTTAATTTCAAGGGGGAAAAAATCTGATTCAGCTCCAAAAGAAAAATAATACTCAACTAAACTAAATGAATACCAGAAGGGTAAGAGCGGTATGGGGGAGAAATCGCTTGTAAATCTAGCTCAGAATTCTGAAGAGGTAGAAACCACCGAGTCCGACTTTGCCCAACTGGAAGCACAAGAGGTGAACACAATTTGAGTGACTTTTTCATTCTTTTTCTTAAGAGAGATTTTTGCTATAGGACACGTGTGCTTGCCAGAGAGACGGAGTGACAGAAAGTGAGAAATGACTGCCCAGGGGAGATGATTACACTGCAATCCCTTCTCCATTCTCCTCTCAGGGTTTTCGGGATGCATGCATAAGCCCCGGTGTGAGTTTGAAGCCGCTGGGTCTGGGACTCAAACCATGGTCGCCGACATGGGAGGCCAGTGATGTAACCATTATGCCATCTGCTGGTCCCAAGTGACTTTCTCTTTAAATCTGTAGGTCAGTGGCTTTAAGTCTCAAACTCTTCATGCCAAGTTCCCTAAACTTGCCCAAAATGATGTCTGTGAAATCCCCAAGTAGACCTGTAGAAGTATTCATATAAACAACCTACAACGTGAGGGCCACAGCAGAGGAAATGCGGTTGCACAAGAATGCTTTGCATCTGTAGCACTGGAAACTTTTTAACTCCTTGGTAAACAAATCAACAAACCAAAGCCTTCCAGTACGGGAGCTGAATGAAGGACCATCTACAGCTGCTGGTTTGTGGGGCTCCGGCTGTGCTTGCTGGGGGCAGGTGCTGGCACGGGGAAGGGTGGGCCAAAGAGGATGGAACGCTCCGAGTGATGATGGCTCTGTTACATTCGGGATCTACTCCTTTTCCCTTTAAGTCCACTTGGAAAAGGTTCCTGGACGATACTGAAAAAATTCATTCCTAATTCCAAATGCTTGGCTGTTTAAAAAGAGAGAAAGTTTAAACCCTGTTTTAAGACATTACTACCAACTGCAACTTCAGAAGGGAAACTTTATGGCAAGTCTAAGATAGTCTGGAGGAGCATCATCCCCCGGAAACTCCGCTGCTCTCCTCTCCCGACTGCCCCCGCACTAGGGAGTTGCAGTTCTAATTCCAGGAGTCCCCACCCACCCTGGGAGCAAGGACACAGCCATCTCCTCTCAGACTCCGTGACTCAGAACAAACCACAGGTTAAAATTCAGGCTTCTCTGGCAGCAGCCATCCACAAAGCTGGGCTTTAAAAGGCCCAGCTTCTGACTTTGAAAAATAAGTTGCTAATGCTTGAGAATAAAATCTATTTCGATTCAGGAGACAATTGTGCAATTATTTTTATTGTGGATTCCAAAGTACTGGGAATTTTTAGCTTAGACAAAGAATAAAAATAAATTGTTGCCTCATTAGACTTAGTTTTTCTCTGTATCTCTCGACCAGCTTTATCTAATGCAGCCATAACCATGGCATTACTAAGCAGATGAAACTGCATTTAATCACTGAGGGAGAGAGGGAAAAATGATGTTGCTAATACTTTAGCTTTTAGTGCCCAGACATTTTTCCCCCTTGTCCCAGGGAAAAAATAGACTTTATAAAATTAAAAATTACTAGAAAAGTTTTTCTATCCAGTTGGAAAACAGGCTGCATAAAGATCCGTGGGTGTTTTACAGCGTGCTTTTAAGAGCTTTGACTTCAGGAGTCTAATTGCCTGGAGTGCTACAGAAATTAGGCGCTGCTGCCCAGGGCTGATCCCGGCGGGCAGAGATGGCTGCTCAGCAAGAAGGACCCCAAGCCACACTGCTGGCAGGCCCGCACCGCAGCTCCCACGTATTTGTGCCTAAGCTATTCTGCAGTGGGGACAGGACACTGGGCAGCTGGGCAGAACAAAAGAGAAGTGGTTAAGAAGAAAAAGGCAGAGGAGGGCGGCCAAGAATCTGTCTGGTTGTCTCGGACCATCCCAGGGACAGGAAGTGCTGTCACCTGTCCCTGGGACATCCTCGGTGGCTGCTGCCTGCTGGCCAGTGGCTCAGGGCCAGCACGGGAGGGCTGAGTCGTGGCCTGCAAAGTGTGTATGCGCTAACCAAATGGAGAATCCACCTGCGGCCTGGGGCCAACATGGATCTCACTCACTGGAGCCAGGCAGAGCGGCCCGAACTCCTATAGAACAGCAGCAGCACTCGGAAGAGAACTTGAGGTTCTTATGGAAAGAATCAAACATCGACGTGTGCTTGTGCTGATACCACAGAGCCGCTCAAACCACCTCACTGTGTTTTACTGGTGTGGAGCTAGGATGGAGTGGGGACTGATAAGACGCGTGAAGCAAATATGCAGGGGCTGGCTGGCCCCAGGGAGGCAGTTCCCACATGGCTGAGTATGGTTCAAGTCTCAGTCTAACAACTTGAAAAATACGCCAGGTGCGTGTGTGTGGAAACCTAAAATCCCAACAGGATTTTAGGAAGGCATTGTGGAGTGACCACGCCTCACCGGGGAGTGCTCCCCTCCTCTTTCTCTCTTTCTCTAGTGAGTGCATGCCCCCTCTGGCAAATAAAAAAATAAAAAAGCAAGTCAGTATTTACATCAACTTCATCAATGAGAGATGAAGAGACACCACGAGAGACAGATGACAGGCACACGGGGTCTGGAAGACCCCGGCACAGGACGGCCACCACCTGTCCCCCTGGGAGATGGCACTCTGACACGTGTCAATCTACTTGACTAGCACTGCCCCTTCCCACGGGGCCAGAACTGTCGCTTCTGCTAGGGCTGCCT